AACGGTGCTTTATGGTCTGCACGAGCACGTTCGCTGGAGGCTACTACACTCCAGTGCCCCAATCAAATCCATCCTACGGCCTCCGTTCTCTTGTTGGCTATCGAGTTCTTGATGTCCATAATCTCACTAGTACCCTTGAAGTGTATGGTCATTCCGCAACAAGTTCATTGTGTGTCGCAATCCAACCACATAGTGGGTACTCCAAATACCACTTTGTATTGGTTACCGCTGTGCCAAGCGTTGCTCACGGATTTTAGAGGCATAGTGATCAAGACGTCGACCTTTAACCACTAGCCCCGAGTTCCATCCCAGCTCTGGCAATTTCCACCTGATGAGTCTCAAGGAGGATGTAACCGTCGGTTCTGAGGTGTCAGTATAGGGATGAGCAACACCGAAACACCTCCATTTCGGATACTGTCTTTGTGATGGGAATGCCGGAGGTATACTTAAAAGTGCACCAAGTTCTCAATGTAGATTGCGTGTCTCAGTACGAACCACACAGCCGGTTACTCCAAATCCCACTTTGAATTCCTTACCACTGTATACCAAGCGTTGCTGACGGACTTCAGTGGCATATTCAAGGCGTCAGTAGTGAGCCACTGAGCTTCGAGTTCCACCCCAGCTCAGGCTATCTCCACCTAATGAGTCCAAAGGAGGATGTAACCGTCGGTTGTGAGGTGTCAGTATAGGGAGTAGCAACACCGAGACATCTCTATACTTTCATCCTATTTGCTATGCGTATAATGAGATTAGTCTCTTGACTCTGTGTATGATTTCACTACAACCAATTAACTTTAGAAGCGGATACATATGATAACTGAGTTTTGAAAGGGAGTTGTTTTTGTCAAACTGTGCTGTTGTTTATTCACCTGGACCAGGTGGACGTCGCAGTATCGAGGGTCTAGAAATGTAGAAGAGGCGTCCTCAGCAAGGAACAAATTTAAACAACGGTGAGACTGATTAGAGGGTTATTTTGAAATACTAGTTGTGTGAATGAATTGCCACGGACAATATCAATGTGGGCGACAACTCGCATTGAAGTCAACTTTGGTTATTCAATCACGAGGACCGTAGCCGAATCAGATGGAAATTGGATGTTGCACTCTATGATGCGTTTCGATCCCATGTGATCTCATCAGCTAGAGATGGCAGGCATCGAACCCGGGACCATTGGAATTAGTGACCGCTACCCTAAGCCACCGGGTCACAAGGATCAATGTTTGGCAAAACAGTTAAAGACTGATTGGAAGATCATTTTGAAGTACACGTTGTGTGGATGGATTGCTACGCGCAATCGCAAAGTAGACCGCGATTCCCATTGAAGTGAACCTTGACCATTCGATCACTAGGACCGTAGCTGATGAAGCAGCAGCAAATTGGGTGTTGCCCGCCTGAAACCACTGCACTCCATGACGCGTTTCGAGGTTATTTCCTCTCATCAGATAGAGATAGCAGGCATCGAACCCGGGACCATTGAGATGTTAGTTGTGACCGCCACCCCTAAGCCACCGGGTCACAAGGGTTAATGCTTGACAAAACGGTTAAGGACTGGTTGGAAGATCATTTTGAAGTACACGTTGTGTGGTGGATGGATTACGACGTGCAATCTCAATGTAGGCGACGGCTCTCATTGAAGTGGACCATGGTCAAATCGATCGCTGGGACCGTAACAGCTGAAGCAGCTAGCTATTGGATGTTGCCCGGCCGAAAACACTGCACTTTAAATGAACCCTCCAATCAATCACTAATCGTTGTGCCAAACGTTGCTCGCCGTGACTCGGTAACCACAGGATGTAAATATTTCGGTTAATATCCCAAAGATCCCGGCCTCTAATAACTGTTATCTCTACCTGATGAGATCAACTATTGTCGAAACGCGTCTTGGAGTGCAACGTTTTCGGGCCGGCAATACCTAATATCGATCTGCTTCGACAATAAGACTGGTTTGGCTTATATTTCTGCAATGTCCAAACTCTTGGCTATTTTTAGTGCGTCTATCTCAGTCACAACCTTTTTACACATCTTCTTAATACTTCGCTATCTGTTATCTGACACCCTGGTGAATGTTTCGAATCGTGTTTTCTCAGAACTTACTCATTCATGTGCGCATCGTTACCCACGGGAAATTAACTATCTCGCTTTTTCTAAACCACTGAAATGGAACACAAACTACATCCCCTTCGGCATGCACTTTCCAAGTCAAATCAATAAAGGCTTTATGTACCCGAGTGGGTGCATTTTTAGCATTTTACCATAGCTACCGCGAATGGACTAAACTAGCAACCTTAAAAATGCCAATTGCATAGATGGGAATAATGACACAGGTGTCACCCGAATTAACGGTCTCATATTTGAAGGTAATAATTTCCTTTGATGAAGTAGATTATTAGTATTTGTTTTCTGTCGAAGCTACAATGTCAAAGCCCGGTATGTCGATCGGGACGATCATACTTCAAGTAACAAAGACCTTTTGATAACTTGCGTTGCACGCGCGGTATCTCGTCCTTTTTTCAAAATCAACTCGGCACAGCACTAGTGACCTTGAACTAGTGTAACCGAAGAAGTGTCAAAAATATTTGGTAAGAACTGTTGTATCCGCAGCAGATAAGGTAAAAATTATGTTCCAGTGAAATGGCAACGGTCGATTTAAAGGCCCCGCCGATTTCATTAATTCCGGTAGCTTATGCTTCGGATACCTCCTGGCGTTGAGCGTAACTTAGGATCTCGACCCAATGAACTTGCGTGACTTCGTTCACCATGTGCATACCTTATCTACGACCTCCGTCCTGTCATTTAGTGTAGCGCAGCGACACTTGCTGCTCAAATGACCTTTGAACTGCTGGTCCATTCACTTATTTCGGCACTCTCTTGAAACAGACTTTGTTTAAAGAACGCCATCACTTCGTTCACTCGGTTTTTACCGTGTTGTTCGCACTGATTTACAAAACCGCGCGTTCGTATGGCTCGAACTGCGTTATTCAGTAGGCAGGCTGGTGCGCGCCTTTCAAGGTGTCAACTTTAAAAAGACTATAGGAAAACATGTATAGAAGCCCACATATCGAGTTGCCTTGAACATCAGAAGAGTCTACTGCTTAATGCTCTTCGCTTCAAAGTAGTTAATGGACGTGAATGGACATCCATCCGCCGTGATGACTTGTGAATCTGAGGCCCGGGCCCGAGTTTTAGCTGGCCGATAGTTGAGGCATTTTTGTTGAAGGTCCAAAGTTGAGGACAGTGGTCAAGTCTATGGGATCACGTTTGCTTTCACTGTACACTCCTCCTACGGAGCGTAAGCTTAGGGAATTCCAGAAGGCAATCATATCTGCCACTGAAAAGTGTCCATACTCAGGTTGGACTACACCGCTTCACGGGGATCTGTTCAGTTGAGCTGCGATCTTGCGCAGTGAATTAATTCCTTTATCCGTTGTCAGACGCTACCTGGAATCACTGTCTGCTGGTGGACGATTGGTGTGAGGACTCTGCCTTGCTGCCCAAAGGTCACCGGTTCGAGTCTCTGTAATTGCAGGCGACCGTGCAGTATCGCTGACCCTCTCGCGACTGTTGATGGCTATGTGGCTGTATTGCGTTAATATGATTTATTGGCATACTGCTGATGACTATATTTACTCCAGTAGTTGACGTAGAAATAATGTGACGTGGGATCCTTCGAGCGTATGTGGGGATTCGTTTTGCTCTTCGGATTATTAGACCGTTTATCCGCATTTCTACTTCTGTGGAAGTGGTGTTCATTAGCAATATGACAACACCAAGGTGAACAAGATGATGTCGAGACTACGAAATGAAATACAAGACAAATGGTCACCCTTTTGAGCTGTAACCTTCTTTGATGTGCTAGCTACCGCGTCTGGTTTCCGTCGTGTTCTTAGAATTCACTTTTCCTGCATAGCTATCCTAATCGTTAATCGCCCGATTTTTTCCACTCGATTATTCCAAATGCATCACTGCTATGATTCACTTCCGGGCTACGCTAGAGACCAACCTGTAATCCTCTATCGGTTTCACATTTTGCTCCACCTCCGACATTTTCTGCTCGTGCTCTGCTGTCAACACAGGAGGCACCTGTCTAGTCTTAGCTCCACTTGCGAAAGTGACCGTTTTCTCATAGATGGCTTCGTCGGTGCAGTAAACATTACCGCCAAGGACACATTCATGGATGTTTCGGCCATATCGACGCAGCTTATCAGTGTACAAGTTAGAGATGCTTCTCTTGACGCGGATCACGTGATATACCAGCTGTACTGGTCTTCAGTCGAACCGGGATAGTAATTATTGAGGGCGATGGAGTCAACCCACCCAGGTCTGCGAAATGAGAATCAGATTGCACTCATTTGGGAGGCTCATATTAGATCGCGATCATTAGCCGATCAATTCAACTCCATAACCGCACCGCAATTTAATGACATCCTCTAGCATGTGGCTGACGTCAACTCACGCGCTCGGCTTTCTTTCTGATTCTTGACCTTCGGCTGCTTGCGCAATTAGCTGCGGGGATTAGTCATCACTATCTGTGATTGAATTGTTGGTATGAACGGACTGAATCACAGAGACTGACAGGGTGGCTACTCGAGGGCCGGTCGTACAGACTGTGATTCAATGCACCAAGCATAATCGATCGTCTGCAGATGGCCTCTGGTTGGTTTACAATGTTTTGCTGCGCTTCCATCCGTTCTATAGCTTTTGTTTCTTTTTGTTTTTGTTTGTTTTTCCAGTGCATGGCCGCAAAGTCGCTGTCTCTGACGTAACGCAATAGTGTCGTTATTTGTGTAAACCTTTACCTGAATTATTTGTTTGCCTTTGAACGACGAACGACTAACCATCACACGGCGTTCCAACTTGGGCAACCGGTTCGTGTATCTTAATTACATCTGGTCTAACAAAGCAGACTAACTTTTCAGGTCTGCCTGAAAATGGTCTCACCATATGAATACTCTAGTTCTGTTTCCTTGTTACCTCTCTTTGTTCCGCTCTCCCCGTCGCAGATGTGGACGCTGGTTCTGCATCAAACATCACCACCCCGAAGATCACTGCTGTGATTACGACTTCAAGACGATGAAGCCTGCTCATTCCACGATATCGGTTGCAATTCCGCCAGTCATCACAGATTCCGTTCGCCGTTAATATGCAGTGCGTCTACTTCGTTTGGCGGACATACACGGTCTGCTTTGCCGCCATCTATGTCGCTGTCGCTTGTTCTTCGTGTTGTCTTTGTCCGTGTTGAGAACTGGTTTCCTCTTCTCTTCCAAAGTACTGCTATTTTTTGCGTCGTGAGCAAGCTGGTAGCGATCAACCCCATTCCTCACTGTTTCTGATACATGGAGGAATCTGGAAAGTCTGACTCCAACGTCTCAACTGACCACACCCTTCATCGACCAAACCATTTATCTGTGTTTGTTTCATCACACACACTTTCTTCCTGCGTGTTAGCTCCGAAGCGCCTCCTAGCGTCCATCAAATTACTCCTTTAATCATGGAATGCTTTGTCCACTTTTGTACAACGCAACTTTTGCTACTCTTGTTCTCATTTGCCTTGCACAACCTGTGTAAGTTTTATGTGCATCCATGTTGCCGTGCTGTTTTTGCTTTTCGCCGTTCCTCCATTTTAGTCCGTTTCCTCTTTGTACACATGTTTTGAGTGTACAACTTCGGTATTCGCTAGTGGCTGAATAGATTTCAACCGGTCTCTGCTGACTCCATCTCTACATCGCCGTCCCTATGGTGGCCAACTTGGCTTTCAGCAGATGGAGCTGATTTGCGAATTATCTCTGCCACCTACTCAACTCGTTGCGGTATGTTAACGGTCACATCATCGACGATAAGAGTTTGACAACGTTGAGTGACGAAAGTTTGTAGCAAACGGCAAACTTTTAGAGTATCCTCAGTGACTGTTGACGGCATTCATTTCCGGGTTTGTCGATCAATGTGCATGCGATGCGCCACAGGATCTTGCTTGCTACAGAAAGATTATAGGGGGATTGCGTGGACCACACACCCGGCGCCTATACACCGCAGACCCAAGGGAATAAGATTATGGGGCAGTTGTTCCGGGGCCAACCCACTCCTTCAAAGCGTTCAACACTGATGTAACACCAAGTTGTGGGTTCGCCTATTTTGTGCTCGGAAAACACAACCACACGTGGACTGATAACGTCGCATATAGAAATTAGAGGAGAATGGATATCGGCATAGATTTATGGCACGACGCACGAACTCAAAAATTTTAGCAGAAACGATTAACCGACTTCCCGAATGTAAAGGTATTTGTTGCGCAGTTATCTAAAGGGAATTAGGATGAAATTAGACTGCAATACCATTTCGCACATCGAACTGGACACAGCGTCGTTTACGCAGATCCTCAGTACTTTGGTTATATGGGGAACAATAAGGCGATTGGACGATCTTCAAGCCATATCGTGATCAGGCTAATGCAACCCGATTTGTGCAAGCAGTGGGCACAAATGCAAGTGTTGTTCACTTCTATGAAAAGAGGTGAGACCTGGTTGTCTCGTATCTCTCCATCCATCTTGGTGTTTCCTCACTGTACTACAAGAAGGCCGACTCGTGCCTACGTTATCTTGCCCACAGTCAGAGTCCGCATGGTGACGTTGATCATGGTGAATAATCAAGACATCGTTCTCTCACAAATCATCACCGAGGGCACATGCATTGGGGCAATTATCAATAATGTTCATCGAAGAGCTCATATGCTTTGCAGAGTGGAGATCTAATGTGCACGACTTGGGAATTTTTATTTGATGAGAAACAGAAAATCTTAAATTAAAATATCTACTTTGTTGGACATAGAAATGATGAAATTGAAAATGCGGTTAAAAATGACACCACAATTCACTCATGAGGCTCGTTCAGTAGAAAATTGAGAATTTTTCGTTGCTTGTCTTCCTTTTCCGTCCGTTTTACCCACGAACACGTGCTCCCTGACAAATGCTACCCGGAGTCGACCACACTCGTCATCAGTTGAGTACGCCGCCTTCCTTTGCGCAATATCTCGGAGACGTCCGTACGCAGTACGGTTGAGTTGAAGTGGCGCATTGCATAAGGAAACAATTCTTTGAGCTTATTGTTATCATGAAACGAGTAAATCCTCCCCTTCCCCCAACAACTAGGCAGCGTTTTGGGAGCCAGCGACTGAATTCAGGTAATCGAACAAGCAAATACGCCGTCAAAGTCGCATCGTACTCAACCATCACTTAATATATACATGCCACGACGTAGATTATGCAAATGCGCCCAGTCGGAAGTATGAAGTGATAACGGTTGACTAGTGTAACAACTTGGACATGATCAATAAGCAAGAGCAACTCGCAGCACAAACATCACCAGAGCGAATGCCGACAATTACCGCTGCCACATGGAATTGGCAATGAGGACATCGTTGGCTGTGGGAGACTGGAATGCTGTAGGTTCCATCCACGTGACTTAGCTACCGTGGTAAATAGTAGAAAAAATTAGCGGAATTTCCAGGAATAACCAGCTGGATTTTAATGTAGTACGCACTCATAATGCATAACTTGATCGTGCGCTTGGAATGCCGCGTTGTAACTGTCAAGCTTCACGGCGGTTTCGTGTAGTGTGTCCCAGCGTCTAAACCCGTGTCTAGTAGCTTAAGTTAGAACGAACCGATCCATTTGATGTAGACAACATTCACGTGTGTTAGATTTCCTAGACAGTTATGTGAACTGTTTGATTCCAGACCACAGCGCATGAAGTAGACTACAACACCGATGTTTTGCACAACAAATTCTCCATAGGTCTCCCAATGCATTCAAAACAACAATGCCAGTCAAAACAATTTCGGCATAGCACGTTCACAGATGTTCAAATGCGTCGTACCTGTTGCGTTTAGCGAGCAGTGTCACGTGACATTGCGTAGAAACATAAACATAAGCCATGCGTACAATCAGGAAATGAACACTGCTTCGCCAATATGATTGATATTGTCGTTAGTAGTGACAGTCTCGACTTACACGTGAGGCTATACATTCCTTGCGTTCTGGATCATGCCATACCCAGGACAGATATAAGTCGCGGGGCGGAATGTAGCATTGTCAAGATCCAGGATTCCAACAACTCGAACGTAAAATTTGTGGGCATCTTCCTTTATTTTACAGCAGCTAAAGGGAAAATATGTGCGGTATAATCACAGATGAGTTTGGGTTCGTGCTTAATTTTGCTCAACGCATAGCCATGCAAAATGGGGGAGTTCTGTATCATCGAACCTCTGCTTCACCACATAGAGGATGTTACTCGATGGAGAAGGAGCCAGTTGCCAGTGCGTTCATCGACGTACGGAGCTTTAGACACCCACGTCTGCATAAAACATGACTTTTAACGACTTCGCTGAAAGTCTATACTGACGCAGCGATCGTTAACGGTGAGAGATGGGCGCATCTGAAGTATCTGCAACGTTGCCGTGAACGCGATTTATCTTAATACTGCACTAGAACTTCTTTACAACCAACTGCGGAAAGCGAGACGGCGGTCGGCGCACCATGGCTCGTGGCCTAACAGAACTGCTTTGGAATCCGAGAGCGCGGGTTCGAGCCTGCATCGGAGGTTAGGCAACGCTCGTATTATCCTTAGCTTGCGCGCGACTGGTGGTGGTTGCGTGGCAGTGAAGCGTCAGTACTGCGTATCGGCGTGCTGCTGATACCTTTATTTTTATTTTTTAATCTTCGATACTTAGAGCTATGTAGACATCACTTGAAAAGAACCATCCAAGCACTGCATGTTGTATGAACTGCACCCTTTTTCCCTATTCGTTGGAGGTTTTCCAAACCAAACTAGAGGATTGCCAGTTAGTTTCTCAGTTGTTCGCCGAGCTTGGCAATTCGGTTGCAAACGTTTCTTCACCAATCGAGCTGACATCATCTGAAGGGTTGGATGTAGCTTGATCACGAAAGCTCGGATCAGGCAAATCCAGGATTTCTAAACCATCTACGATCTTGTACAATACAAACTGTGTGTTCTTTAAATCGAACTCAAAAGTACTTAGATATTATGGACATTTTCCCAAGTAAACGAAGTTTCTGAGATTAATCAGCACGATGTTCAAACCTCTTTTCTATCGATCTGATGCAACCCGAAGGATACTGGCACCGCGTGCTAGTACAAGCTCTTCTCTTGTCATGACCATGAGTTGACTTTGTCGTGAGTTCCCTTCACCTGAATCAAAGGCGGGGACCAAGTTGTGACAGGTCACAATCATCATCGGCCTCCGAGTATTATGAGCGATTGATACTTATAACTAACGGTCAACTCAAGCTGTTGTGAATCAAACAAACGCACTCTACTGCTTCGCGAAAGTACTAAAATGGGCAACGAAAACTACTTGAGGCTTCTGCGAAGCATAGGCATTGCGGGTGAACATATTCAGCGCAGAAATAGATTTCTAGCAAGGTTGAGTTCATCCACGGGAAACCCACCCATAAGGCTACTCCTCACATCATGAAGTTAACGAGAGTACGCCCATAAACGGCGCAACTGTGAATAAAGTCATAGAGAGAAGCTGACCTCCGATGTCTTACAACGCATCGAACAATCCGCTGATCTACATTCTGAGGACACTTAGATGCAGGTACAACAGTGTTTGAAAGGGAATGGGACCTAACCTCAGCTAGCCAAGGATCACGCTGAAGAACTACCACTAGGAGCTGGACGGCGTCGAAACTGCCACGTAAATCGCACCCCCTGTGATCCTATGCTCTCTAGTTCTCTGTACACACACTACAGGACATTTGGAAGTGCATCTTCGTAGAGGCGAGTGGGTTCAAACTCCATTTGCTACGAAAGTAGGCTCACCAGAGAGGGCGCTCGTGAAAGTTATTTTACGCACAGCTCTGGGTCGCATGATGGCGCTGCTTTTGCCTGATAACCAAAACATCCTCGACGACGATATCTGCATAGCTCAAATTTCTGATTTTCTTCTAAGAGCTTTTCATGCGGACATATTGCAGTATGGAGATGAACAGCGTATGGCTGACAGCACCAGAATCCAATGGCTGGTCAATCTAAGGAGGACTCTGGGCTGGTTTTATCTGCTGGTTTCTGTCGTCTTAGTGCCACGTGCTAAACCCGGCAGTAAACTTTTTTTAAGGTGGAAGTGGTGGCAAGACGCCTGCTTACCAACCTGACACCTGACCAGATGCTAAGCGGTCATTCAGGAGAGCACCAGAATCGTGAAGCAGCAGAAATGCGCAAACTGCGTACTCAGTATGGTTCTGTAACTGACAAAGACGGCAGCCGGACCGCCTTTCATCAACTGAATGTCTTTAACTTTGTTATTTTCTTCCTTGCTAACAAATTATTGAGGTTATTCTAAGGAAGTAATATTTGTCCAGTTTTATTTGGTATGCAGAGCGCCCAGCTTAGTTTACAAAACACCAAGCCAACAATTGGATTGGCGTAAAAAGAAATGTTATTTCTTGATCGTGTGTTGTCGACCTACTCGTGAGTTTGCTATGTAGAGGCAACCAGAACGTATCAAACCGCAGTTACTGTCTCATGTATTTACCTTTTCCACAGGATATGCGATAGAAAGCAGTTGGCAAAAATGAGATAAGGCTAGCTACAAATATTCCATGGCATATCTCACTTAGCCTAGTCGCAATTACCTCGAAGCTACCCGTTAGTTTGATTGTTAAACACTTACTCGGTTACTTTGGTTCCTAGA